CTCCTGCCTCCTGAACTGCACGTGAAGTGCCTGGGAAGTACCTAGGAACTACCTGCAGCCTGCAGGGCGGGCCAGTCTTATATAGTGCTGGCCCGTCCAGGAGGCTGCTCTTGCCAATGCCAAAACGTGCCAGACCCTGGGGTTGAAGCTCAAACAAAGGTTGTCTTGAAAATAGGCCAAAAATGGCCTGAGCTAAAACCCTGGTCTGGTCCCTGAGTTTCAGGGCAGGTCGATCTTATGAGGGCCTGAACATGGCCCTCCGTTTCAGGCTGAAAAGACTCAGGGCCAGAAAGGCCCTGATTTAGGCTGAAACGACACAGGGCCTGTAGGCCCTTGTTTTCAGGCTTTTGGGCTGAAAACAACACGGGGCCTGTAGGCCCTTGTTTTCAGGCTTTCAGGCTGAAAACAACACGGGCCTGAAAATGGCCCGTACAGCCTGTTGCAGGCGCAGCATGTAACATACATTTGGACTTGCCAGGACCGCCCTCCTTTTTCCTTCTGAGGGTCTATTGTTCAGTGCATTTCACAACAATCCTGTCCCTTGAACCGCCAGTACCTTTCCCAGCCAAAAAAAAAAAGCCCGCTGGTTAACACGGAGGCCAGGGCTGGCCTCGCGCCCCAACCAGATACATCCCGAATCCTTGGGGTGCAGGGCCCGCGGCCAATGGCTGGGAAAGGTTCTGGCGGTTTAAGGTGCATCAGCCGCGTGGGGAAAACTGATGGCAAGCAGCATGCCAATTTTGAGCGGAGATTTAGACTAGGGCTGTCAACCACCCAGCTTTCCTGTCCCCAGCCGGTCTATGAGTGAGGGAGGAGCACCAGGGAGGGGACCAAACGGGAGCCTCCACCTCTCTGGGGCCTGTACGCTCGCACAACCATAACGATGACATCAATGCGGCATGAGTAGATAGTGCTCAAAGAAAGGAGACGGCACACTGCTCTAGTTATGAAAGCAAATCCGACAGCTATACAGCTGAGAGGAGCAGGCACGCGGCAGGACATTAGGGTTTAGGGTTTAAGCGAGAAGGCATAGCCTGGTAAGCTAACTTAGTCAGGGGTGAGAGGTGGTACATCCTTGCCATGGGAAGAAATCAATGCCGTCTACTCGGACCTCCCTGCCATAACAGGGAGGAGCATGCGTGAGTTCAGCTATGTACTCTGTCGACTTGCCAGTGGAATAGGAACCGGACTGATGCTCCCCAGAATGGAAAGGTGCCAGGACCATAAGGTTCGGTCCTTCTCTCTCTCCCCCCTTTCTCTCTCTCTCCCCGCTTCTCTCTCTCTCCCCCCCCCCTCTCTCTCTCTCCCCCCCTCTCTCTCTTCCCCCCACTGTCTCTCTCATCCCGAAAACCCAGGAGACTGTAGGTTCACGCCACCATCAAGAGCAAGGAACCACCCCATGAATGTCCATCACCAGCAGAGAACACAGACAACGCCCAGGTACGATACCGTCGCTGAGACTCAGAATGACACACGGGAACGACCAGGTCAGTAACTGCCCCATCAAGACCCCAAACTTCACCGAAATTGCGGACAAGTGGACTGTCCTCCATGCTCAATGGCCATATAACTTTGCAGCTTTCTCAGAGTAGACTCAGCATGGACAGCAAAACATAGCAAAAAGACTGAAACTTGTCTCAAAAAGTTTCAAACACATACACAGCCGCAATTCTGCAGGTCACTTCTGGTCCCAAAATTTTTCAACTTTTCCATATGAGAATTTAGTTACCCGTCCTCCAGGACATCCATTAAAATTGGAACGATAGAGAGAAGATTAGGATGGCCCCTGCGGAAGGACGACAACACGCACAAATTGAGAAATGGCCCTTTTTTTTTTTTAAGAAAAGGAAAAAAGAAGAAAAGAAAAGAATTCAGACACCCCATCCATTCATCACATACCGAGGGAGAATCAGAGTGGAAATTTAAGGAATAACATCTTGACAATTTTTACAAGCAATGAAGACATCGGTTCTGTAAAAAAAAAAAAAAAAAAAAGAGTTGTGACCCTATCACCTTAAATTAATCACCTCCTTTTCCGGCATCGAAACACACAAGTCCTTCCTTGCTCTCTCGTTTTCTACCTGCTTAATTCCCTACCACTACTACCCTCTGCCCTCTGCATTTATCCATCCTATCCCAGGGCTGACTGAGGGAAAGAAAGAATTAAAGAAAAGACTTCCAAATTTTCAAATTAATAATTATTAATTTATTATCGATCAACCATCTCTGGAGCGGTTAAACATAGAAATAAATTCCAATAATTCAAATAGAAATGCACGCAAAAGTTGACGCAAGGCTTGTGAATGAGGTACAGCAGTAATAACGCACTACATAGTAAAAACTTTGATGCCACAGATGAATGGATGATGATCATCTATATCAGACAAGCTTAAGCAGGTGCCACACCTGCTCTCACCCACCTTATGAATCTTCCATCATATGTCCCAGTTACATAATGCCATCGATTCCAGAAAAGAATCTTGGAAGCCGCAAAGTCCTGAAGGTGTCCCAATTTTGCAGACGAACACAACAGCATCAATGTGGTCAAGTAACTTTTAGATGGCGAATATTGCAGTGGATTTGTATGGTGATAGATTGGTGTCCCTAGCTTTTTTTCCTATTCTGAGTATTCTCCTTGTCTTTTTTCATTCGAGAAAGCCAGCCAAATGTGAAAAAGGTGAGTACGACAGGAGGAGGAGGAGGATGCAATGTTTAAGGAGAAGAAGAAGAAGAAGAAGAAGAAGAAGAAGAAGAAGAAGAAGAAGAAGAAGAAGAAGAAGAAGAAGAAGAGAGCGAGGGAGAAAGAGGAAGGGAGAGACAGAGAGAAAGACAGAAGGAGAGGAAGGAAGAAACAGAGGGAAAGATGAAATTTTGACACCTTTGTTTCAAGCTTCCAGTCCTCTTGAGCATTGGCGACTTCTCTCCATGATTCTCATTTCTCTCTTGTCTATCTGATTAGACACTGACTCCTGGTTCAGTGGAACTACATGTATCATCATGACTACGTTCATTCATTTCATGGCAAAAATGTTCAAGGTTCATTGCAATTTGGTGCACGGTGCAGCCCAAGGTCAACCAGGCATACAAGAGGAACCTAAGGACTTGGCAGTGCGGCAGTCAGGTTCATCTTGTACTTGCCAATGGGTTCTAACTGCTAACCATGGTTCTCAGCATGGTTCTCAGCATGGTTCTAAAGAGCATGCTTCTAAGCATGGTTTCAAGCAGGGTTGCACCCCCCGACGGTTGGTGGCCCTTGACTGGTCGGCACCTACCTGTCGGGGGTCGACAGCACCCCGCAAAAGAAAAAAGAAAAAAAAAAAAGAATTTTTTTTTTGGGGTCCAGAACCCCTAATAGCACCACCAACACCCCCATACCCCCCCCAAAACCCCCAAACCGCCCCCAAGACCCTCATTACACCCCCCAATACCCCCAATATCACCCCTATACCCCCCTATACCCCCCCTATACTCCAACCCCAACCCCCCCATACCCTCCCCCCATCCCCAAAAGTTTCTCAGCGGATTTGGGCTGTACTCAGCAAGCGCAGTACAGCCCCCAACTCAGATTTGAAAAAAAATCAGTGGAATCAGAGTGATGTTTTTTTTTTTTTTTTTTTCCCTGACTGGTCGGCCCAACTGGTCGGCTGCAATACGGTCGGCGGGCAGGGTCGGCGGTCAGCAGGGATGCAACCCTGGTTTCAAGCATGGTTCTAAGCATGGTTTCAAGCACAGTTCTACGCATGGTTCTAAGAATGGCTTCAGTTTCAATCACAGTTCCAAGCATGTTTGCTTGCAAGAACTAAAGTTACCTTGTTCGCGTAGCCAATACCAAAGGACGTGATGACTGGCCGGTACGCACCAAGGAATTCCAACTTCTAACCATTGTTCTAACCATGATTTTCGTGAGCATGAAAACTTTTGCAAAAAGAACTGAAATTTAGTAAATTACCTTGTCATCCTGGCCAATACCAAAGTGGACCACTCCCCCAACATCAACGAACAAATTCCAACCCCAGGTGACCTGCATCACACACATCGACGACAAGGAACATGTGGCAGAAAGTTAACACTGCAATGCTGTTTGGAACAGAAAAGAAGTATTCCAAGCAACTTGTCAGAAAATTTGATCTTGGATTTCTGGACAAAGAAGAAAGAAAAATCAGAATGTGTGAATTCGTTCTATTTCGCATTTTACTATTCAGTGTGCTAAGTTCAAAAAATTTGAAAAAAAACAAATCTTACTTTATACAGACGGATGCCAGACAGACAAATCTTGTTGGAAACAGAACCCTCTGTGAGAGCTGTATGCGAGGAAACTTGCACCGACATACGCCACGCCCTGACTGACGGATGTGTCCCCTTAGCCTCCAGGCCGAAGGAAAACGCTCTTGTGAGCCTCCAGGCACAAAGTGCAGCAATTCGGACATCTCCGCCGAATTGCTGGACACGAAGTGTTGAGGTAATGC